TATATACACACACACACACACACACACACACACACACACACACATATATATATATATATATATATATATATATATATATATATATATATAAAATATATATTTACTTGATCTCAACCTATGTAACTGCTGTTACGCTTGCAACGTAATCTGTGATATTTTGATAAAACGAATGTTTCAGCTGTTAGGCAAGCTAAATTACAGACAACCTCCCTTATGTGAACCAGGAGTTAATCCCTTATCTGTTCTGGGGCCCCTTTGATTTATGGTGATGGTTCCTCTTTATGATTATACGCATTACCGAAACAAAGGCTGGGCCAGCAGATAGAGAGAAACGTGTGCATCATTTGGAATTTTACTAAAATAGAGGTGATAAATTCAATTTGGTTTAGGTCAGCAAGGATGTAATTGTAATAGAATAGGTGTTATCAGCATAAACCTATTGCCTGTTAAAGAGAAACAAATCTCCAAAGCTAGCACTTCTGAAGAGCCAATGATAACGTACTATTTTAAATACTGAGTGAGAATGTATGCATAAGATAACATTGAACAGTTTTATACTCTTTATGTTGTAAAATCACTTACTAACTGACTGTACAATGATAAAGAAATTCACTTATGATCTCGCATCCACTGTTGTATCGATAGTTAAGATTCTGCTCAGACATAATTCATGAACTATAGAGTGATCGATGTAATCGATGTGCTTTCTCATTATAGAATGTCATTTCAATCAAGCAAAAGCTCCAAGGAATTCTTGTCCAGTGGGCTGCAAACATCAAGGTTCAGTAAGATAATCAAACACTATATTATGTTGTATTTTAGTACCCTTCAACAATATATAATGCAAACAGAAACAGGAGAGTACATGGAAGTATATTTTATGTGACATCCACATTTTTAATTTGCATATTTTGTAATGCATCCCTACAGAAATGAGTGAACAAAACAAGCAAAAATGGAAAAAAAAATTCAATATGAATAGAAAAAAATTAAAATAAATAAAAACCACGAAGAAAAAAAAATTGCTAAAGGGAAGAAGGGGTGGAAGAATCTAATAATGGCTGACTAAAATAAATTACAGGTTAATAGGTACAATTTTTCTATTAAAAAAACAAAAACTTTTATTTTTTCCAATAATAAAATTTAGACCAATGAAAAACAATACAACAAATAGGTATACCAGTAGCACATAGAATAATGTAACTAAATTACTTAACTAAAGTAACTAAATAATAAATTAAAGAGGAAAATGAAAAGTCAGTTTTTCAAGCAAATCTTGAGCACTCCAAATGCAAAAATTATTTTCATAGTCATTTTGTTGGGCAATATATACACCCAATAGACTACATAAACTCAAATATTACTGTCTTGGAGTTGTAATTTGATATGTATTATGACCATAACTTTATTTAGTACCTGCTTCTGATTCAGTATGGATTAACAACACTATTACATGTTTCTCCATATTTTAAAACTTGTATTACTTTTATTAAACTTTTATTACTGTAAAATATCAATACAAATCTATGGAAAGAAAATATATTTTTGAAATATATATTGCTTTAAAAAAATCTGGCAAAAATAAGTTTAAATTTTTTGTTTTTTAAATACTCAACTTAGCCCAAGTTCCATCATCTTCTAAAGGTGCCTATACACCTTGCGACTATTGTTCGATTTCCGAACGAAATCGGGTTTTCGTACCATAATCGGCCAGTTGATGGGACGTGAACAATCATAATTACTATACAACTAGCCAAATTTCGTCTATCGGGCAGGCTAGAAAACCCTTTAAAAAATCAATGGATTAGTGGCGTTTTCATACAAAAAAAATCGCAACATTAACACTGCACGTGTGCAAATGAAAATCTGTTCTGTGGATCGATGAAATTCGGTCAGTTAGCATTGCTAACGAACGATAATTGAAATTCACATTGTTCTGTGCATGATGGGGTAGTCGTGCACAGATTCGAACGACAATTCGATGACGGGATGAAAAAAATCGTACTATAATTGTTAGGTGTATGGGCACCTTAAGAAAGAGATTTTTTAGAGCAAGGAAAATGTTTTATAGTTATTCTTTGTCTTATTTTTAGAATGTTCTGCAGGTCCAAAGCACAAATTATCTCAGGAACTAAACTTGCCAAAGAAATTAAGAAAGAGATCCACAAGGATGTGGAATCCTGGTTGTGCCTCGGCAACCAAAGACCCCATCTCAGTGTAATACTAGTAGGGGACAACCAAGCAAGTCACACCTATGTCAAGAATAAGATCAAAGCTGCAGCTACTGTAGGTAATACCTTTATGAAATGCAATGATTTTCACTTCTGTGGTTGAAATGATGTAAACTGAAATTCGCAACATTTAAACCTGTCAGTTCTCTTTGTCAAACCTTAACTTAAGTTATTATTACCACAATTAAAGACTGTTTGGTACATGGGTTATTTGTGGAACTCCCACTACATTATACATTTTCACATGGGTGTAGACATTGTAGTACATAACTTCCACCCATATGCTAAATAAATGGCTATAATATAAATATACTTTAATTATATATTTGTTCTAGGTCACTAATTACACAGCATTTCTGCTAAAGCATCAGAATAACAGCCAGAGATGATGCTTTTACAAAAGGGATATAGTAATAGCAATCTATATTAATTCCAGGATATTGCTGGGAAACGTATAGTGCGTGCTCCTCAAGCAGATGACTTGTGTCCGAGAGTTGATCTTTCACAGTGGCTGACAGACTCACCCTTAACATAAAATTAACTTAACGCTGCATGGGCGAGCAGGATGGATACTGTAAGATCGCTCCCTCTGTACCACTCATGCGCATGGCCACTATTCCATCTTGCCCTCTGTTTACCCTTAGAAGGTGTATATCACCTTGCTAATTACATAGCTATCAATGTTATGTTTGAAAAGCAAAGAGTTCGCATACAAACCCAGTTTCAAGAAGTTGACAGCTGACGGATTTTTGGAAGCCACAGCCACACTCTAACAGGTCTATTCACAAAAATGCACAGTGCATCCATTTAGAGGAAGCTCAGCCCTGGCAGATTCACAGCAGTAACAGTAAAAAAGGGCCAATATGTCCCACTTAGGTCTAATAAGGCAACCAGGAGAAAGGGGGAGTTGGAGTGCTGTTAGTTGGCCATGCTGACGCCCCCCTCCCAATGAGATGCCACTTGAGGCTACTGGAAAAACTAAAATCTAGAAAAGCAAACTCGTGCCCTTGTACAGAGGGATTATAGAACATAGACATTAGATGATGGGCATTTCCATAACGTGCTCTGGAAATATTCATTATCATAAGGTAATAGGGCACAATAGTAAGACCAGAGTCTCTACACATGTTCAAATTGTGTACTTGTCTTTTCTGTGCCTGAGCTAACAATCTCTGTTTTGTGAATAAAAAAAAACTTTCAATATGTTACCATTTGCAGCTATATTAAGCATCATATAACAGTATGTCCCAAGAACCATGGAAGTAACTAACAGATACCTTATTTAGGTGTGTCTATTTTAAAAAATCCTTCCAGTCTGCTTGTATTCTGTTTTAGTTAGCCTACAATTCTACCAATAATGAATAAATGTACTCCTCTGTCTGCAACATGAAGGAATGTTAAAAGGGATCTGAGTTAGCCCAACAGGAGCTAGGCACTATCTATTTAATGTTTTACATGTGTTTTATTTCTAAATAAAAGAAGAAGAACATTTTTCCACTTTCCAAATGTTTCAATCCTGAGACCATATGTGTTCCTCCATCCATGCTTCCCAAGAGAATTTACATGGAGCACATGCCACCAATGTTTTTATATACACACTATATTGCCAAAAGTATCGGGACGCCTGCCTTTACACGCATCCCAGTCTTAGTCCATAGGGTTTAATATTGAGTTGGCCCACCCTTTCAAGGGTGACCGTGGAATATTGAGTAGCAAGGACATTTCTGGGAACACCTGAATCCAATGATTTGGAGGGGTGTCCCAATACTTTTGGCAATATAGTGTATACTGTATATATATATAGAGCAAGGAGAGATGGACAGGAGAGAGAGAGAGCGAGGAAAGACAGGCAGGATAAACTACCAGGATAGAGAGCTAGTAGAGACAATCAGGAGAGACATTCAGGAGGATGAGCAAGGAGAGACAGCCATGGGAGATACCAAGAAGAGACAATCAGCAGAGAGAGTGGAGAGACAGCAAGGAAAGACAGCGAGGGGAGATAGTGAGGAGAGAGAGCAAGGTGAGACAGCCAGCAGAGAGAAGAGAGACAGCCAGGAGAGAGAGTGAGAAGAGAGTGAGAAGAGACAGCCAGGGAAGGGAGAGGAAAGACAGCCAGGAAAGAAAGGGAATAGACACAGCCATTAGAGAGAGAACAAGGAGAGACAACTAGGAGAGGGAGAGAGAGAGGAGAGACAGCCAGGAGAGAGAGTGAGGAAAGACAGCCAAGAGAAAGAGTGAGGCGAGATAGTGAGCAACACATATGCCTGAAGCAGAACCCCTGTGGCCTTCAAGACTCATCTGCATCCTGTGTTTCAGACACCACCTTGCTCCCCAAGTTCCAGCATCCCTCCGTGCCCCATGCCTCCTCCATGCACTCAAGTTGGAGAACTAGGACCCTGTGGTTGCCCCAGTCCGTCTGACATTGTAACATCTTGTGTCTGGGTTTCAGCTGGCCTGAAACCTGAACACAGCACACAGTAGACTCAAAACCCAGGCTATCCGGGTAAGTGCCACACAGGTGGCAACCCTAGCTATGCTCTTGGCTGCTGCAAAAGGTAAGAGTGGAAAAAAAATTCCAGCACAAGGGGCGAAGGGGGTTCTTCACAGTAAGATCAGTTAGGGTCTGGAACTCACTGCCACAGACAGTGATTTCAGCAAAGAATGTGGAATTGTTCAAGAAACTTTTGGACGATTTCTTAAGGGACTGTAATATACAGGGGTACAGGTACTCCTAGAATGAGATCCTAATAGGTTGGACTTGATGGACTAATGTCTTTATTCAACCTCAAATACTAGTTACTATGTAACTATGTAACTATATGTAAGAGCCCCCATCTGTCCCCAGGCCCTGCTGACCTGATGGGGCCCAGTACAGGAGGGCTGGCTTTACCCCCCATATCCGCGGCCCTACCTGCAGACCAAAAGTAACAAGTCCGGTACTTTGAGACCCCTGTTCTAAAGTGAAGGTGGGGCTCTGATCTAAAAGGGCCTACTAATGTGAGAGGGTTTTTGAGGTGTGTGAGAGGGTTTTGCATGGTGTCCCCCCTTAAAAACCATACCAAACCCCCATCTGGGATAAGCATCTGGTATGGATTTTGAAAGGGTGCTGTGACTGAAAAAAGCTTGAGAAACACTGTGTACTGAGAAGAGCTGAGATGCTAGGTAATATAACCAAACATCTGGAAACATTATCCTTCCTTAAGCTGTTGGGTGCTTTAGGCCAACTCCAACTAAAAGTGTCTATTTATTTTTTATAAAGTGAGGAAGGTTTAGCAGGCCAAACGCTGTTACATTTTTTTTGTTCAACTTTTGTTCAATTGTGGGCTGAACGAAAAAAAAACAAAAAAACAGATTCCTCCATCCATGTTACACAGCGTGGATGGCAAGATCTTCTGCTGGGTTATTGCACTCTGACAGCAATGGATGTGTTATTGTCAGAATACCCAAACAGTGATGGCAGCTGATTGGCTGTGGTTACTGTCCTCCTTCAAATTTTCTGACTGGCTCTTTTGATATTTCTTTAAGAACCGGCCAAAATTTGCACAGTGTATGGCCAGCTTTAGAGCTTCTGCCAGTGTTTTATATTTGCTTGTGTCCCAGGTGCACAGATGAAAAGAAAAACTTGCACTTTCATAAAAAATGAGAAAGTTGGAATCGAAGTTTGAAGCACTGTCATTGGTTTATTTATTACATTCTTTTTTTTTATAGGAAGCTTTATGCAGAACGCAGGCACCCCTAACAGAAGCTTTAAAGGGCCCCTGTTCCCAGACTATGGACATTAAAGTAGTTAAACATTCTTAGCAAGTAGTAAAGGAGTCTTACTGATCTTACAGGCATTATGAAGAAATTCATCTTCAAATTTCACAACACTGCTTTTCTATTTTCGTATTTTCTATGGTATCAGAAACTTGGCGGCCTGTTGTTCTTCTAATTTAGGCAAACAGCAGGTGCTTTAAGCATTAACTGCAGAGTCTCTGTTGTGATCTTTGAGGATGAATTCCTCCACAATGTCTGCTTGTTAAGAATAAGTAAATGTGTTGTATCCATAGTCTGGGAGTATGGTAATATGATTAAAATCGAGGGCTCCTATTTGCCATTTCTTGCAAAAAAAAAAAAAGCCCTGCATAAAAATTAAATCTCTTTAATCTTTTTGTGCTATTTAGAATATTGTTTAAATGTAATGTGTCTATTTTCAGGAATTTCCAGTGAAGTGTTACTTAGACCCAGCAATATTACTCAGGAAGAATTACTGGATATCATAAGCAAATTAAACCGTGATTCTAGTGTTAGTGGCCTGCTACTACAATTACCTTTACCAGGTAAGCAAAACTGATCATCCAACATGACTTCTGCTGAATGATTCTATAGTTTTGTTCACAAGACTTCAAGTAAATAAATGTAATTTCCTGATTTCTTACAAGAAGTACAGCTTTACGCTTCTATGTGAAAAGAAAGCAAGTGAAATGGAGGGGTTATGGACATGGGAATGTGGGGGAATGACATGGGGACTCTGTCCTTTGTTATCTATCAGAAAAGAAGTAGGCAGGGATAAAACCACATGCTTAGGATTTTAGAGTTCAAAAAGACACTGCATTGTCAGTTAAAACAGGAAGGTAGGAGCCTATTATATTTCTGATACATCAACAGGTTTTTTTCTGTACTTGTGCATGATTAAAGGCATAAAACATGGGGAAATGTTCATGTATTGTACTAAATATGTTTTTGTTTTACATGACATGCTTTAAATCCTGCTAAAAAAAAAAAATTTTTTTTGCAATATTAACATTCTACCTGTCCCTGCCCTCTGCAAAAACTTAACTAGGTCCACTATAAAACTAATAGTATGAATGGTGTTGAGACAGGCCGTCTCTATAAAAATCAAAATCAAAATTTGAACAAATGGGGAACTTACTTGTAGCCCACAGGGTCCGGACGCAGAGCGGCCCCGATGGAGGATCTGGCAGTTCTAGGAGTGGTGTGTAGTTCTGTAAGTAGTGGCCAGCAGATGCGATTCTGGTAGGGAGAGAGGGGAGAAGTAAAGAAGTAAGTAAGCGGGACGGGTCCTATGATCTGGACGTGGCTGCTGCAAGCTGTAGTGTCAGGCGTGCTGGTGAGGCTGGGGGTCAGAGTGGAGCCGTGGACGAATCTGGACCGAGGGGATATGTGTACCAGAGGACTGGTGGTGGGGCTGAGGGAGTAGTCGGGCGCTTGTCGAAGGCTGTGTGATTAGTGCGCCTCCCGTCTATGCAGCAGTGGTATTGGAGGTGATGGAGTTGGAGCAATTAGCAGCCGGAAAAGGAAGAGGAAGTGAATACAGGATCCTCTTAGGGGACAGGAGCTCATTAGGACGATCTATTTAATACTCATAGTGTCCAGCTGCAGGTAACAGCGTAGTTTAAATATTTTTGACATATGATCTGTTTACACAAGTTTTGTCTAATTTGCATATAGAATGGTGGGGCAATGGCTTGGTGAGTGCATCCGCAGTAATTTCTTCTTTTGCTGCCTTTCTCCATTTATTGGCTTCGCATTTTGGTAATTTTTTTTTGGTAATTTTTTTAATGTCTTCCCACGACGTTGGTTCAAGTATGCTATGTGTCTTAGCAGTATATGACAGCTTGCAGGGTGGTAATCGGTTGCCCAAATGGATCTTCTAATTTCAGGTTGTTCAGCAAAATCTAACATAAAATTTGACCTATCCATTGTGAGTTCCTTCTCTTGTTCGGGCTCCTGTGTGGCTTCACTTTGCTCAATTTCCTTTGCTGGTTTACTGGGCGAATTTACTTCACAACATTGTTTCTGGTGATGGGTTCTCACTGAAGTAAACACTGTGACTTATTGTCACTTTGTCAGTCTTTGGGTTTAGGATTCTATATCCCTTACTTTGATCACTATAGCCCACCGGAATACCTTCCAAGGCTGTGTTCTCCAACTTGGATCACTTCTCCTTTGGAATATAGGAGTAAGCTTTACATTCAAACACTCTGATCTGCCCTAGGCTAGTCTTCGATCCATGCCACATTTCAAATGGGGTGCTTTTAATGGCTTTTAATGGTAGTCTGTTCTGTAGGTATGTTGCAGTCGTGACTGCTTCTTCCCAGTACTTCTTAGGTAGTTTGGCATCTGACAGCATGCATCTGGCCCTTTCTATAAGAGTGCGATTTTTCTGTTCTGCTACACCATTTTGTTCAGGAGAGTATGGTGTGTTTGTCTGGTGTACTATACCTTGTTCCTTCAGATATGATTCCACTTCCTTACTGATGTATTCCCCTCCATTGTTGGCGAGTTTAATTCCTGGTTTCCGTTGGAATTTGTTACTGGACATGGCTACAAACTCTTGATGTAATTCTTTTCCTGTCAATACACCATGCATTTGGTATACTGCTCTGAGTCACTTTAAAGGTAGTGCTCCATGATGTGCCTGCAGTTTCCTTTGTAGCTGCCTTAGCTCTTTCTCTTGTAGGTGCCTTTCGCTTTCGCTGCTCAGCTTTACAGATTGAACAGTCCTTTTTCAGGTGACCAGTCTTTTTACAGCGCAAACACACTCTGCTTTCTTTGTTTTGCTTTGCGCTCTCATGCACCTTAAGGGCTTTCTCGTTTTCGTCATTGTGCATATTTCCTTTGCATAGCAGTAATGCCACCGCGTGGTTATCTTTAATTTCTTCTCCAATTGCACGGCCACGTACTGTTCTATTATTTCCAGCATGGCATTCACATGCTAATGCATTTCCTGGCCTTTTTCTAGCCTCATCTTATATAGCTTGTGTAAACGCTTTATTCTATACTCTAAGCTATACTTTATAGTTTAATGTTTAGGTTTGAACACTCATGCAGTTTTTGCAATGCAGCCCACATACCTTTAGCTGTATTTGTTTTTCTTATGTGGATGAGCTTGTCATCTTCCACAAGCAGACTTATAATTGCTTTTCCTTGCCTGTTCTTCTTGTCCTGTTCCTCCTCGAGTCCATTAGTGGGTCTATCTGTACTCAGTACTTGCCACAAGTCATCTTTGCTTAGCCACATTTTAAGCTTGAACTGCCATAGCTGATAGTTGCTATTGTTGAGCTTTGCGATTGCAAACCATATCTGAACTGCTTGCCATCTTTTAGTAGCTTGGATGCGGCTCTGGTTGACTTGCTGTGTACTGTTTACTGCCTGGGCCCATAACCTGTTGGTTATGTGTTTAGATGAAGCACTGAGATCTTGAGGAATGCTGAATTAGGATTGACTTGCTTATAAGGACATTACATCAGAATACAGCATTATACAGCATACACAGAGAACTTCATGTATATATCAAAGATAAGCATGAACATACAGACTAACATAGACTAGCATTGTACTACAGCGCTATCTACAGCTCAACAATGTTAATGTATTTGAATGTTGCTTGTGAGTATTTTAATTCCCCTAACATTGCATTATGTTAGGGGTGGATAAGGATCCACGACCTAGAAGTGATTAGTAATTCAATAAACTGTGCTGCTGACAATTAACAGATTAAAAAAAAATGCAATTTGGGGTATTGGCTGGCAAACTGCGTATCTATTCTAAATATAAATTCAGAGTGTATGGACTGTATTTAACTGTCAAATATATATTGTTAGCCACTAGATGGTGCCATCAGTTAACATAAAGAAAACTAAAAAACAAGTCAAATGAATGTCCTTTATTTTTTTTTAACCAGATATTCTTTAGTGATATTTTAACTAGTTACAAAAGATATACCATAGCAAAAAAAAAACGTATCCTAACAGGTGCTTAAATCTAATGATCCTTGGCCACCTTCCAAGAATGTACAGCATTGAACGACGCTGGTAAATACAGTTATCTGTTATTCTAAAGGGATATGTTTATATTTATATATATGTTTATGTGGAATGGGGAACAAGGAACAATATGTTAAGCTTTTCATTCCCTGTAAACTTTTCATCCAGGAGAGGAATTGTGAGATAGAGACAGAACTCTGTCATCCCTTAACAGATGTTCTTGAACCAGGGCCAGTGCAAGGATTTTTGCCTACACAGGCAAAGGTGCATTTTTGAGACGGGGGGCCTCTTTAAGACTGCTATGATCACACCTCTCTGCGCTCCCTCTCGCTGCAGCTTCACGAAGCGGGCACTCAGAGAGGTGGCTCTGATCGTACCTGTCAGCGCTCCCTCTCTCTCCTCCCGGCTGCTGCAGCTTCAGAGCATAGCCCGCCGATCGCCTATATGTGCTCGTTCCCGGCAAACTTTTTTTTTTGCCCCATCTTGGATCCATCCCGGGACCGGCTCCGAGGGCGTCAGGAGGAGGAGGACGGGAGATCAGCTCCTTGCTGATCTCCGTCCGGGCTGTGAATGCAGAAGTGATGTGTGTTACATCACTTCCGCATTCACCTGTCAGTCATCTGGCTGCTATAGCCAGAGAGAAGAAGCTGATAAAGCAGATCTCTGCTTCATCAGCTTCTTTTGGGGTCCACAGGTGATATTAGGGGTCCTAGAGACCCCTAATGTCTCCATAAAGAGGACCTGTCAGTGTGCCTTTGCTATTATATAGGGGGATTGTTATCCCCCTATATAATAGCAATAACAATAAGTGCAAAAAAATAAATATAAATAAAAAAAATAAAAGTAACACATAAAAAAGTAAAATAAAATAAAAGTCACATATAAAAAAAGGGGAAAAAAACCCCCCAAAATGTTTAACTCCCCCACCCCCACGTTTACGCGCCTATAAACGTAAATACGCGTCCGGTGCCCCAGCGCGCAAAAATTACAATTGCGCTACACATGTTACATATCGCCGCGAACGTCGCAGTGAGAGCAATCATTTTAGGGCCATCAATCACTGATAACACTAAACTGATGAGCGGTAACAGCTTTTAAAGCGTCGCCTATGGCCAATTTTGGGTATTATCGTTTTTTGAGGTTTCGCGCGCGCACGCAATTTTAAGGCTTGACATGTTTAGTGTCTTTTTACCCGACGTGACCCCATCTTTTATATTTTACCAAAAAATTGGGTAATAATAAATGTTTTATCATTTAATATAGGGGAAACTGTTTTTTTTTTTTAAATTTCGGTAATTTTTCCTTAATATAGTAAAAAAATAAAACCCCCAGTGGTGAATAAATACCACCAAAAGAAAGCTCTATCTGTCCCCAAAAAAGGGTATAAAATTCATTTCAGTACAGCGCTGCATGACGGAATAAATGTCAGTCAAAGTACCGCAGCGCTGAATACTGAAAAATGGCCTGGCCAGGAAGGGGGTTTAACACCGCGGATGTCAACTGGTTAAAGAAAAGAAAAAAAAAGTAACAATAAAAAATAACTCCCGCCA